GGGGGGGGGGGGTTAACTGCTGCCTTACACACTTTACATGCAAGAAAAGGCTGTCAATAATCTGCAGACATTTTGTTCAAAGCAGCCGTTTCATCGTCAGTGTGTTCAGGAAACTAAACACTCTCTGGAGAGCTCTTTCAGGATTTATTGAGAATATGTCAAACAAATGTTTTCAAAAACGTTAGAACTGTGTTCAGCTTCAGCCATAAATGAAGCCCAGTTTATTAGCATGGAACAAGCTGAAGATAAGCAGCAGACTTTGCCAACACATGTTCTGGCATGTTTAGGAACCTCCGGACGGTGAGCACATTGAATGCAGAACGGAGCAGCATGGCTCTATGAAGCTCATCTTTGTGTCTACGTTATTCAGTTTAGTATTTGACATGTGTACAGCTGGCCGAGCGATGCACTCTCTCTCCACAGGGATCCAGATAAAGAAAGTGCGTTGCTCCTGACCGCTGTGCATCCCACTTCCTGTCATCATGCACATCACACACAGCACTCTGTATGTTGCAGCAGGAACATTCCCCTTCATCCATCACATCCTTCTGACCGTGTCGTACTCACGCAGCAGAAAACCTCGGCGGCAGAATCCTCGTCGAGCAGCGCGACGATGATCCGGGCGTCGCTCTCCTGCAGAACACATTAACATTTACTCTGAATTCAGACTCTCCACGTGCCAACGTGCTGCACGGTTACCGTGTGTTTTAGAGTTCAACTGTCCAAGGACTTTGTGTTTTGTTGTTCCTAAACTCTGAGGTCAATTGCTCAAAAAGCATGTCGATGTTTTTTTTTTGTCAACTTTCTTTTGGACAAATGTATTCAGCGTTTTGTATTTATTAATAATAATAATAATTATTATTATAATAATAATAGATTACATTTGTATAGGGCCTTTCAACGGACCCAATGCTGCTTTACATGGTGAACAAACAAACAAACAAACAAACAAACAAACAAACAAACAAACAAGAAGGGCAAATAATAAAGTACAAAGGGTCAAGCAATGGGACACTAATCTCCATCAGCTGCCACACCCACAGCATCTACCCCTCTCTCTCCCTCCAGCCGGTTGGAGATGGCCTCCTCTCAGTGGACTCTCTTCCTGGCCTCCCATCAGCAGCTCCTTCAGTGGATGCAGTCTGTGGAGCAGGAGCTGGGGGGGGCGCTCCCTCCTCAGGTGGGTCTGAAGGAGAAGGCCTCTCTGCTGGAGCGTCTGAGGGGGGTGCAGAGTGACGTGGAGGCTAAAGCCCCCCCCCTCTCCCGCCTGATGGAGCAGGCCCTGGAGCTGCACGAGAAGACGGGAGATCAGACGTTTGGACCCGAGGCTCGAGGAGAACTGAGCGCCAAGTACAGCGACATCTCTGCCAGCGTGAAGGTGAGGAAATACGGGGGGTCTTATATATACGATATGATGTGAGCTGTATATATATATGATATATATGTATATATATATATGTATATAAGGATAATTCATGTATATATATATATGCTATATATATATAACTACGGATATATGTATATATAGATATATATATATATATAATATATATCTTATATAATATATACGATATATTCAGTTAATATATCCTATTGTAATATATATAGAATATCGTATATTATCAGATATAATATTATAGTATTATGATATCTATATAATTATGTATAAAAACATATATATATATACTAAATTTATAATATATTGTATACTATCAAGCAGGTTATATATCGCAGTCGCTTGGGGTTACATGTCTCTTTGCCCCTTAATGAGCAAAGAGACCATGGTAACCCCCAAGACTGGATTATATAACCTGCCTTTGATATGTATTACATTATATAGTAAATATATTATATATATGTATACATAATATAATATAGATTATATATATATATACTAATCTAATATATACTATAATCTAATATATATATACATATATAATACTATACATGATATATCTATATATATAACTGATATATATATATAAATATATATCGATATATACATATATCTATATATAAAAAATATATACATATATAATATACGTAGCATGAAGTATACTATATATATATATATATAATAGTTAGTACATAC